GCGCTTGGGGGGGGGGGGGGGCGGACGGATCATGTAAACACGTGTACGCGAGCACGTGCTCGAGCATCACGCCATAACACTCAACCGTTGAGACGAGTATATCAGAAGCTGCCGCGTTATTTTCTAAATTATTTCGCGCCGATTTTTAATACCGCATTTTGACTTGGCCATAATTAAGGCGATAATTAACACGAATTGAGACGCGCAGTTCTCATGCGCAGTTCAGATGCTGCGGGTTTTACCGCGACAAGTAATTATTGTTTCATATTGTCCAGTTTCCAAACTATTTTTTCTTACAAAATTACGTAGAACGCAGCGCGAGAAAAACGAGACTGATAGATCATCTAGTTTTGCGATAAGTTCGCCGCTAGCTAGCTTCGTGTCTACGTTGTACGGTTCGCTCATCAGTAGTGAAACAAGAACAGAGCGATTGGACGTCTGTCCTTTTCTAACTTACTATCATTGTACGGAAGTTCAACGGACACGACCAGGCGCACTTTAAGCGGGGTCTACAATAGAAATCGTAGAGTCGTACGTCGTAGAAATTGTCCAATCGCGGTAGATTATTCTTTTCATACTCGATCGCGATTGGTCAATTTCTACGACTTGAGATTCTACGGCCGATATTCATAGTCGAATCTTATTTCAAGACTGTCTTAAGTAATGTCTTAAGATGCGAATACTCTGTGATTGGTTCATGATATCTTAAGACAATACTTAAGGTAATCTTAAATATAAGATCGAACTATGAATACCGCCCTACGACTTCTATTGTAGACGAGCCCTTATCGTTACTACTGCGAAAATGCGTCTAACGCATGTAGTAAAGGCGCACTTTGTTAGATGACGTCTCGAAAATGCGCCTAGCTCTGGCCATTAAAATCAAGCTGGTGGCCGCTCTCAGGCTTCTCTCTGCTACAATATACGTGACGTGAATTGTAAATAAATACGCGCATAAACGAAACACAGTCCAAGAGGCGCCATCTGATTCAGCGATTTCGAATCTCGCGGCCATATAACCCGTTAAGGCTAGACACGTTACTCTCTATTAGTTCCAAAGTCTCCGCTACGAGTCGCCATCGTTCCGTATACGGCAACAAATCGTAGTATGAATCGACGATACGCTAGAAGACCTTTTCATTGTTGAGGGATACAATTCTACACGAATAGAGGTTTGACAAATTTATGTTTGGGGGTAGTGAACTTAATGAACGACAGGTGAGAGCAATGGTCATTACATTCTATTCACTTTGTCTGTATGCAGTGACGAAATGCGGTTAGAGATCGCGCAGTACGCCGACCCGACTGATCTAGTGGTATATTTATTACTACAGTTGGGTCGGGTAATATAAACTTTGACACTGCGGAACATTGCGTGGAACGATAATTAAATGAACCGCCGGTTCGTTCACCGGCAGAGAAGGAAACTGCGGAAACTGCTGCGAAGGGAGAGTGAGCGTGTGCGCTTTTCAGCGCGTTATCTCCTTTCCTCCCTCTCTCTCTCTCTCTCTCTCTCTCTCTCTCTCTCTTTCTCCCCCGTTGCGTCTCTGCGCTCTACTTTCTCGCGCCAACTAAAAGGCTCCGTAACGCGGGTTATGGCTTCAATATGCAGTAAAACCAGGATAGCCGGCACGTACGGCCGCACGTCCGTGCGCGTACCTAAAGCCCTTCCCGCTCTCCTAGTCCTACGTATAATATCATAGCATATTGTATCCCGGGCTTGGCGAGCGGGCGCGACGTTCTCGTGTGCTACTAGCGAAATAAACTGATGAATAAAAGAAGTAGGCACTGAATGGCAATTAGAGGAGCATCGTAAAATAAAGCGCTAAGAGAGAGTCTCGTATACGACAAGAAATATCTTACCGTCTTTGACGATATTTTTATCAAACTTTTTCTGAGATCTCCGCGATCGACAACAAAATAAATACGTATGAAGAGACACGAACGAGTGTCTGAAGTAATACAAATTGCTAAAATCTATCGATGAGGAACGTCGCCAAATTTCCAATAACTGAGATGTGTAACACACACACACACACACACACACACACGTGCGCGCATACACATGCACGCAAACGTGCGCGAAAATGTTGAGGGAGCAACTGGCGTGACTTTGATGGTCGAAATATTGTCTTGCGTGTGCGCAACATACGAAGGAGTTTTCCCTTCCCAACGCGACGTGTAAAGAATGTCCCGCCGGTTTCTCGGAAGCAATTTCGCCACTGGAAAAGCGTAATTACCGGTTAGATAAACCGTTGTCGGAAACATGCAGGTGAACCGATGAGCAACGTCCAGGAATCTCGCATTCTGTTGAAGCGAGACAAAAGTCGCGTCGCATCTTGCTGAAGCTCCGCGACAAATGCTGAAGAAAATCATGACGAGCAATAAACAACGAGATTGTTTGATTGAGTATGTGATTATAAAGTTCAACGAATATATTAGCAAAGAGAACCATAAATTATAATCATGTAGAGTTTTTCCTACTACCCGTAACTGCTTTTCACACGAATTTCACGACAACTCGATATAGACGTAAGATATTGGAAACCGTTGGTATTTCCGAGTATCTATATCTCTGATATTCTTAATCTCGTATTTTCGATTCGTTCCAATGTAGGATCAAAGTTCCATCTATCATCTCGCGCGTGTGTATGTGTGTGTGAGAAAGAGAGAGAGAGAGAGAGCGACAAGTTTTATAAAATTTTAAAAAAATATCGGTAGAACAATTTCGACAAAACATATCAGATCGGCGTGTATGTAATGCAATTTCTTGCATTCACGTAATCAGTGGATTCGTCGGAAAGAAAACAGGAAATCTGAATAAAACTCGCTTCATCGAACGACAGACTAGTAGTCTCGCAAGTAATGATGGTGACAAAGAACGAGAGCGGAGGTAACGCGCACTTGCGCAAGTAATTTTGCGCCCTTTCCCTTCCCCCCCACCCCGATAAATATTATATATACGACAAGTATTAAATAATAATAGATATCTCTTTCATCCTGAGAACGGCGACGAACAAAGGAATTCTGATAATCGACATATGATAAACGACAACGACGTCGCGACAATGCTTGCTTCTGTGACTCATTAAAAAATCACGTCGCAACTGATTGAATTCGAGTCCACCCTCCAACGTTATCATACGTTATAGCAAAGCAAAGATGAATAAACCAGTTAGAGAAAGCTCTATCGATACTTACTCAAGCAAAGCAATCGGAGACTGTCTTGTACACTCAAGCTCATATAGTTGCTAATTTCAGCGCGCTTTAGTCGAGGAAAGATCGAATCGGTACACTTATCGAGTAAGCATTTAAAGATGAAGAAGCGTACCAATCGAAAGTGCGACAAAGTAGGCATCGGCGCCGAGCATACGGTATTTTGCAGCCGAGAATTGCGATTAGACGGCAAATCTGATCGTTATCAGTCGCGTTTCGCTAATGGCTGCGCCGCACATGCCACATCTTGTCCTAGTCAATTGCAACGCGAGTCAGTCGTGTTTTCGACATTTCGATTCTACACACTTACCTTGCCCCCGTTATCTTATCTTATCGAAGCGACAGGCCTTGAAGCGTTTCTATTCAGGAAATTCTTATGCATCGAGCGTAGAATTTCGCACGTTGCGAAAGATAGCGAATACATCGATGACGATGATTTCCGCTCCACCTCCTGCTCTGTTGTTACCGTATGTCCACTTTTTCACCTTTTACATCCTTTTTTTCACA